GAATATGCCATGCCTGCGGTGCCTTGGACGACCGTCACGGATAGCGGCCGCGGTGAGAGACCACCCCCTGCGCACCCCCAGTGGTGTCGAGAATCTGCCATGCCTGCTATGCCCTGGACGACCGTCACGGATAACGCCGCGGTGAGAAACCACCCCCCGCGCACCCCCTTTGATGGTGTCGAGAATATGCCATGCCTGCTGTGCCCTGGACGACCCTTACGGATAGCGGCCGCGGTGAGAGACCACCCCGTGCGCACCCCCTGTGGTGTCGAGAATATGCAATGCCTGTTGTGCCCTGGACGACCGTCACGGATAGAGGCCGCGCTGAGAGACCACCCCCTGCGCACCCCATATGGTGTCGAGAAATAGCCATGCCTGCTTCTGACCCGGACGACGTCACGGATAGCGGCCGCGGTGAGGAGACCACACCCTGCGCCACCCACATATGGGTCTCGAGAATATGCAATGCCTGCTGTGCCCTGGACGACCGTCACGGATAGCGGCCGCGGTGAGAGACCACCCCCTGGGCACACCCTCTGGTGTCGAGAAGATGCCATGCCTGCTGTGCACTGGACGACCGTCACGGATGGCGGCCGCGGTGAGAGACCACCCCCTGCGCACCCCCTTTATGGTGTCGAGAGTATGCCATTCCTGCTGTCCCTCTGGTGTCGAGAATATGCCATGCCTGCTGTGCCTTGGACGACCGTCACGGATAGCGGCCGCGGTGAGAGACCACCCCTTGCGCACCCCTCATGGTATCGAGAATATGCCATGCCTGCTGTGCCCTGGACGACCGTCACGGATAGCGGCCGCGGTGAGAGACCACCCCCTGCGCACCCCCTCTGGTATCGAGAATATGCCATGCCTGCTGTGCCCTGGACGACCGTCACGGATAGCGGCCGCGGTGAGAGACCACCCCCTGCGCACCCCCTCTGGTGTCGAGAATATGCCATGCCTGCTGTGCCCTGGACGACCGTCACGGATAGGGTCCGCGGTGAGAGACCACCCCCTGCGCACCCCTTTATGGTGTCGAGAAAGTGCCACGCCTGCTAGGGTTTGCGCCAGTGTCGTGGATAGCGGCCGAGCTGAGAGACCACCCCCTGCCCAGCTCTGCCACAAGCCGAGCTGAGAGACCACCCCCTTCCCCTGGCTTTTGCTGGAGCCACGTTCTGCCGTGCCGTGCCCTGCGCGCCTGCCCTGTGTGCTATGCTGTGCTGAGCTGTGCTGCGATGTGCTGTGCTGTGCCGTGCCGTGCTGTGCTGCGGTGTGCTGCGCTGTGCTATGCTGTGCTGTGCTGTGCAGGTGTGCTGTGCAAAACTGCCACGCCTGCTGTGCCGTGGACGACCCCTATGGCGTCGAGAATGTGCCGCACGTGCCAAGCCGTGTGTGTGTGTGCTGTGCTGTGCTGTGCTGTGCTGTGCTGTGCTGTGCTGTGCTGTGCTGTGCTGTGTGCGCTGCGCTGTGATGTGCTGTGCTGTGCTGTGCTGTGCTGCGCTGCGCTGCGCTGCGCTGTGCTGTGTGCGTGAGGAGGAGGGGGAGGAGGAGGAGGAGGGAGGAGGGCGGGTGTGGGTGAGACGCGGGTGCGGCGCGGGTGGGAAGAAAACCAGAACCCCACGAAGCATGTGGGGAACTATAGCCCTCATGGCCCTAGCCCTATAACCCCTTAGCCCCACAGCCCCATAGCCCTATAGCCCTACAACCCTATAGCCCTATGGCCCTATATCCCTATAGCCCTATATCCCTATATACCGATAGTTTCATGGGTCCATAGCCCTATTGCCCCATAGCCCTATAGCCCTGAACAGATTATGATTGGTGCCTTTCTCCGGTATCATATGTTTCGGGACAGTCGTTCTTGAATTCTTTACGGCACCGAAGTTGTTTCAAGGATTCCGGCATGCGCGCACAACGACGCGCGCGCGTGCGCGCATTTCGTACCATGATGTTGCAAGGGAGTATTGAACAGTGCTGATTTGTGATAGCCGAGTGCGCGCGCATTGCAGATTCAGGCGGAGGATAAAGGGGGGATCGATAAGGGATTGCCTAAGCAGGCAATGCTCCAGGAAGGGGTGCTTGCTCTTCGGCTGGTGCTGGAGGGAGTCGGTGGAGGCGGGGCCCTTCGCCGGAGGCGGCCCTCGGCGCTGCCCAGGAGTGGCTCGGCCCAGGCGTGGCCGAGAGTTCCTCGGTGTTGCCCGGGGCCTCTCGGGCTTTACAATGCCAAGCAGTACAAAGCCTTGCCAAGTTATGCCAAGCAGTGCGGGGCAACGATTTCAAACAGTGCCAAGCAATGCGTCGCATTGCTCGGGACTGCTCTTGGTTGTCTCCCAGGAGGAAGACACCCCATTGGGGTCGCGCCAGGTTTACGTCACCGCGTGGACCCCCAGAGGTCTAGACCCCCTTCCTGGGGACCTGCTTTGTTTCGTCGAGAAATGGTTTTCTGACGGTTCCAGCGGCGGGAACTGTTTGAAAACAATATTGTCGCGGCGCGCAGAAGTTTTCGGCCTGGCGGCACCTCTGGCGCCGCCCCTGGCGCGCTCAGGGAGGGCCGCCCAGCGTCGACCCACGAAATTGCCGCGCGGGCCTCCTCCTCCTCCTCCTCCTCCTCCTCCTCCTCCTCCTCTTCCTCCTCTCCCCCTCCCCTCCTCCTTCTCCTCCTCCTCCTCCTCCTCCTCCTCCTTTTCCTCCTCCTCCTCCTCCTCCTCCTCCTCCTCCTCCGCCGATGTTCTCCCCCGACGTGCGCCGATCTGCTTGTTTTTGTTCCATCTGCGGCTTCAGGTGGCCCGAGGCCCACTCGCCAGGGGCCGTGCTGCGCCAAAGGCCACGCCTGACGGCCCCAGGCCCGACCACGGCCCCCCGCGACGAGGTCGACGCAGAGCCGCCCGTGGAAGCGCTCCTGTCATCGGATGTTCGGCTCCCTCTCCGAAGCTAGCCGATCGCGGGCGGGAGCGGCGGGGAGGGTCGCGGGCAGGTCGGCCGCGGTTGGTGCGGGCGCGTTGGCCGCGCGGCGCGCGCCGCGGGGCGGGCGGGCGGGCGGCGTGGGCGCGGGCCCGAGGGCCGCAGGCGATCCAGGGTCCCCGCGCCTCTCTCAGACTGTTGGATGTCCGGGATCGTCCGAGACCCAGAGTCGTCGTCCTCCTCCTCCTCCTCCTCCTCCTCCTCCTCCTCCTCCTCCTGTGCAGGCTTTTCTTCTCCGCCTCTGGCCGGCCGGTGCGGCCCCGCATGCGGCCGCGCCTCGGGCTGCTGCTGGCCGGCTGCCTGCTGGGCCTCGGGCGGCCAGGCGGCGAGGCGGTGCCCGCCGCCGGCGGCGGGGCGGCGGTGGAGCAGCCGCCGCCGGGCGGCTGGCGGTCCCCGGACAGCGGAAGGAAGTGGAAGGGTGGTCGCCATGGACAGGGGACCGAAAAGTTGCATAAGCATAAAAACTGGGAGGTCCGCGCGGATTTCTCGGATCGGCGCTGCGGCGCCTCCGGCGCCGCCCCTGGCGCGCTCCGCGCGCCAGGGAGGAGGGTCCAGCGCCGATCCGAGAAATCCGCGCGGACCTCCGAGCTTTTATGTTTATGTCACTTTCGGTTCCCTAATGGAAGGGCGGGTCCTGAGGGAGGCGGGTCCTGAGGTTTCTCGTTTCCACGGGGCCCAGGACTGCCCGGAAACGACTCTGGACGACAATCGCAGCCTGGGGGAAGGCCCCAAGGTCCAGGACCCATTTCCCTCAGGACCCGCTTCCCCCATGCCGGGGTGGAAAGTGGAGCGTAGTGAGATATCGTTCGATCACTGGTGAGATCGACAGATGGATAGTGAGATCGATAGGTAAGTAGACAGGTAGTGATATCATCACCACCACCATATATATATGTATATAGTGAGATGGACAGATACGGAGGTAGATGAATAGAGAGATCGGCAGATAGAGGTCGTTCGATGGCTGGAGAAAGATGTCCAGATGGTGGCCCCGTCGTTGGTTCCACCCCCCCAGTCTCCTCATCGGCACTTGGCCAGTCTTATAGCTTCAAGTCCTGACTTCTGGCTTCGGAGTCGGCCTGCATAGCCAACCCCTGGACCGCGGCGGGCGCGGCGGCGGCTGGGCCGTGGCTGGCGGGGCTCACACGCCTGTCCCACTGCCACTGCAGCCGGTCCCACAGCCCTGGCGCCCTCGCGCTGCTCGAGAAGCAGCTCGACCGCTGCGGGCCCGAGAACTTGCAGCGCCCGGGCCCGCCGCCTCAGGCGCCGGAGCCCTGCCCGCCTTGCTCGCCGGCGCCGCTGGCATTTTGGGGGCTTCCTGGCAGGGAGCCTGCTCACGAGGTTGGCGGCCTGCGACATGGCGGCCCAGCAGGCGCGGCCCCCAGCGCGCGCGGCGCCGGCCAAGGCGCCCGTGGCGCCGCGGGTCTGCCGATCACGGCCCCGCCGCCGTTGCCAGCCCTGGCAGCGGCCGCGGAGGCGTCTAGCGCGGGAGGCGCTGAAGCTGCTGCCCGGCGGCACGGCCTGCCGCTCCGCGTGCCGATTACCGCTTGATGGCCGCGCTCGACCGGGGGACTTGCGCGCACGTGCAGAACGACGAAGTCGGCCCCCCAGGCGAAATATGGCACGTGCGGCTGCTCCTGGCATGGGTCACCGTCGACCTCTCCATGGTGCTGACGCCCGATTTAGACATGTTCGTATATCGAGCAGCTCGACGCCGCGAGCGTCGATGTCAGCGGGCTGCGGTTCGGCCTCCCGGGCGGGCAGCTATCCGTGGGCCTGGCGGGCGGCCAGGTCTACCGCTTCGCCGTGACCCCCGCGCCGGCGGAGCTCGTGGCGCTTCTGGGCGAAGGGGCTTCGGCGGCGATCGTAGAGCGGCAGGCGCGTAGGCTGGCCCAACCAGCAGGCGCGGCCGCCGCCCGCGCCCGGCGCGGCGGCCCCGCCGCCTCCGCCCCCACGCCGCGCCAGCGCGATTGACGTTTGGGTTTTGGACGTGCACGGCAAGACTCACGTGGTCGGGCAGGAGGTTCGGGGGCGGCACAGAGGGGGGTGATGACTAGGGGGGGGTGGATATCATGGGGGGGGCCATGCTATTTCCACAGATTTCATTACGTCCCTGGTCCCCCCCTTGGGCCGCGCACGTGCCGCTGGCCATGATCTGCGCCCTCCCTTCTTGGACGCCCCCCTCTTGGCCGCCCCCGAGAGGTGGCAGTGCCCGCGGCGGCGCTCGACTTGGGAATCGTTCCGTCGTGGCGGTCGCCAGGAAGTTTTGCACGGTGACGCGGCCGGAGCCGATTGCGGGCATCGACGCCAGCGGCAGGTCCTCCTCCAGCGAGGCGAGCCGCGGCTGCTGGCTCGGGCGCGCGACGCCGAGCCCACGCCCTTCCTCGTTGACTCCACGCCAGTGGTGCGCGACCCGAGTGTGCCGATCCGCTCGCAAGGGCCAGCCACGATGGGCGACGCGGTCAACGGGCTGCAGGCGCCGTCGCCACGAGGGTTCACGGCCCCCCACGAGCGCTGGCTCGTCGAGCCCCTCGTGGGCACAGGATCCCGCTCGGCGCAGATCACACGGCTGTCTCGAAGGCCCTCGAGTTCGCGGCGTCGACGGACGGCCCCAATTTGGCCAATCTTACGTCCATGAAATAACTCAACCGACGTCGGCAGCCGATGGAGGAGCCCACGCGAGAGACCCCGAGCGGGCGGACTTCGAGGGCGCGCGCGTACCACTTCATAGTGGAGGACGAGGCGTCGCGAAGCGCTCTGACAGCTCCGTCCGCGGGCCGCCTCGGCCCGTGTGAGCGGTCCGTTTTTGTCCTTGGCTCCCATGGGGGGCGGTTTCTTCACATCCTTCGCCCTGCAGCGCTCCGTCTAGATGTGCATTCATCACCCGAAATCAAGTCAGACTCACCCACATTCAGACTCATGTACACTCAGACCCAGTTGTATTTATACCCACCGCACTCACACGGACCATATCCTGATTCACTCACGCTCAGGCTCGATCATGCCCAGATCCACTCGCACTCCGACTCGCTCACACCCACATCGCCCACGCTCAGTTTCATTCGCATTAAGGCCCACACATATATTTTCACCTTTATACAGCCGGCGTGGCATTAGGGCACCCGAAATGCCAGCAGGCGCCGCGGGTAGCACGCCGTAGAGAGGGCGTAGTAAAGCCATGTGCGCTTGCCTGAGTTGCCGCGGGAAGAACGGCAAGACGAACTCCCCCTATCGATCTTCCACTTGTGTCCATAGGAGGAGGAGGAGGAGGAGGAGGAGGAGGAGGAGGAGGAGGAGGAGGAGGAGGAGGACGCCATTGAAGGCGTCGCTGTCGTCGTGGTCTTTGCCGCGCCTGTCATCTACACTTGGGCTTGTTCTCGCACCCGGTACTCATAGACAGAGTTCTTCAGCGAAGCGTGACAGGCGTATAAGATGCACACATGGGGATCTCCGCGTCGAGTAATTCTGCGCGCGGACTGCAAAAGGGCACGGTTGCATTTGCTGCCTTTTCCCGGAAAGGGCATCGGCACAGGGTTCTCTTTTAATTTGTTTACCCCCGGTTTTGATTTGAGGTGGGTCGGCGAATCTCTTTTGCAATCAATATCGAGGTCGAGGTGGGCCAGCGAATTAACATTTGAGGATGTATCGAGCGAAGCGCTTGTTTTTTTCATGAGGATTTGTTGAGGATGTCTCGAGCGACGGATGTCTAGCATGAGGATTTCTTGAGGATGTCTCGAACCAGAGGCTTGTTTTCACCTGTCCAGGTCGCCCAGGCGGATGTCTAGCATGAGGATGTGTCGAGGAAGTCTCGATCGAGACGCTTGTTTGCACGTGTCCAGGTTGCCCAGGCGGATGTCTAGCATGAGGATGTGCTGAGAACGTCTTGAGCGAAACGCGTGTTTTCACGTGTCCAGGTCGCCCAGGCACAGCACAGCCCTCGGCACGGTACATCAATATCGATACCCTTAGCATTGCAGCCTGGCATGTTGCCTGGCACGTTCCGCGGAGCGTCCCGTGGCGAGTCCCCCTGGCACGTCGCGCGGTGCACGTCCATTGGCACGTTCCGTAGCGCGTCCCCTTGGCACGTCCCGCGGTGCGTGCCCATGGCACGTCCCCTGGCACGTCGCCTGGCGCGTCCTTTGGGACGTTCCGCGGCGCGTCTTCCTGGCATGTCCCCTCTGTCGATTAGTTCTGGGTCAGCTACCATCTGCTCAGGCAGCTCGAGCTTCAGATCCAGATCAGTTCGGTCAGGACTCGGATGCCAGGGAGGACTCGATCCACAACGCTATATATAGAGCACAATCGTGCCATGGCTCATCGCAATTCAGCACGGCCCAGCACAGCACAGCCGTCGGCACGGTACACCAAGATCGACACACTCAACATTGCACCTTGGCACGTTCCTTGGCGCGTTCCGTGGCGAGTCCCCCTGGCATGTGGCGCGGCGCGTCCCCTGGCACGTCCCGCGGCACGTCCATTGGCACGTTCCGCAGCGCGTCCCCTTGGCACGTCCCGCGGTGCGTGCCCATGGCACGTCCCCTGGCACGTCGCCTGGCGCGTCTCTTGGGACGTTCCGCGGCGCGTCTTCCTGGCATGTCCCCTCAGTCGATTAGTTCTGGGGTAGCTACCATCTGCTCAGGCAGCTCGAGCTAAGATCCAGATCAGTTCGGTCAGGACTCGGATGCCAGGGAGGACTCGATCCACAACGCTATATAGAGCACAATCGCGGCATGGCACATCGCAGTTCAGCACAGCGTAGCACAGCACAGCCCTCGGCGCAGTACATCAAGATCGATACATTCAGCATTGCATGTGCCCGTCGCCCAATCAGGTGTCTTTGAAACGTTGCCATGCCGTACATTTCTATATTCCTTTCCGGGTTCGTGGGTCGATCATGTTTGGGGCTTCGTGTCGCTCGCCCTCATCTCCCTCTTCTCCTTGCAGTTTTAGATTTCTTGTACCATGGGGCCTGGGTGGTCTCCGAATTGGTGCGCCGGCTCCGTTTGGAGCCGACGCAAAGCCGCTGGAAGAAGATTGGGGTCCACCCGTCTAAGCAGGAGTATGTAGTAGCATCCCCCACATCATCTCTCTCTCTCTCTCTCTCTTTCCAGGGGAAGGAAATGCACATAAACATAAAAACTCGGAGGTCCGCGCGGATTTCTCGGATCGGTGCTGGACCCCCCTCCCTGGCGCGCGGAGCGCGCCAGGGGCGGCGCCGGAGGCGCTGCCGGGGGGCCCCAGCGCCGATCCGAGAAATCCGCGCGGACCTCCGAGTTTTTATGCTTATGCCACTTTTTGTTCCCCTATCTCTCTCTTTGTCCCGCATTCTCTTTCACGCCTCCGGCATCACCCACGCATGCTACTTGTGCTATGTGCGCGTTGGCCCCACGGGGGCGACGCGCACGCCCACACGTGTCAGGGTACAAGCTCGCTCGCGGGCGCCCCAGGCTTCAGTCGGGCACGTCCCTCTACAGGGGGAATACTCAAGAGTAGTCAAACAAATAGTCAGGGGACGATTTTGTTGAGTATTTGTTCGTCCAAAATCCCCCTGTAGGGGGACATGCCCGACCTGACCCCAGGCGCTTTCTGGTGATGCCCCCTGGGGACCAGGCAGCGATATATCTCGAGATTGTTGTGCACTGTGTTCTGGTCGGACGTGCGTCCCCAATGGACGCACACAGTGCTAGTAACTAGTATGTTCGTTCCTCCCCGTGTCAAGGTTTCCCTATCCGCCGGACACGCGTCCCAATGGGTGCGATGACAAGCAGATCCACGACGGCGTGAGCGTGAGCCCACCGTCGGATCCCGCCGAGTTCTCCAGCCACACCGTTTCCGTGGTGATTCCGTGGCTGAACGAGACGTGGCAGCACCTGGAGGGGACGTTGGCGGCCCTGCTCCACTTCACGCCGGACGTGCTGCTGGAGGAGGTCATCTTCATATCGGACGGCAACGAAGACTCCAAGGAGGAGGAGCTCATGAGGCTGTCCAGCAAGGTGAGGGTGATTGCGCTCCCCAGTAGAGAGGGCCTCATCCGAGCGAAGATGATCGGCGTGGATGCCGCAAAGGCTCCAGTGATTGTCTTCCTGGAGGCACACTGCATCGTGAACCGCGACTGGCTTCCGCCCCTTCTGACCAGGGTCAAGGCGAACCCACACGTACTCGCAATGCCTTTCATCGACTACATCTCGCCCGCGGATTGGTCCGTCTACCGCAAGGGCGGGACTGGGCATTGGCGCTACGAGTGGAACTTCAATCTGATCTACTCCAACCCAGGTGGTTTCCTCCGCGACACCGCCGAGGTCATTATAAGTCCTGGCACGTCCGGGGGCATCTTTGCCATTCGGGCCGACTGGTTCCGAAAGCTACGCCTCTTCGACCCCGGGATGCAGCAGTGGGGCGGCGACCACTTCGAGCTCACCATGAAGGTGTGGCGATGCGGGGGGCGCATCGAGATAGTCCCTTGCTCGAGGATAGGTCACGTGTTTCGCACGCCGCAGGAGAGGCCCTACGCGGTGGAGATTCTTCAGGTGGTCCGCAACTACGCCAGGCTCTCGCGCATCTGGACGCAGGACCACCTTGAGTATCGAAGGTGCCTACGTCGAATCACCGCCGCCCCCTGCCTATCAGAATATGCCTATGTGGCAAAACGTTTGGGCAAAGTTTGGCCATCGGACCATGCGTTCCCCCAGCCGTTATGGGTTGTGTCCATGGCTCGGCCAAGCTATCGGACTATCTATTCCCCCGGCCGTTGTGGAAACCTTTCGGGCAACACGTGGGGAGGAAGAAGAATAAGAAGAAGAAGAATAAGAAGAAAAATAATAATAATAATAAGAAGAAGAGGAATCCTAATAACAAGAATAATAATAAGAATAATAAGAAGAACAAGAAGAGGAGGAGGGAAAAAGGAGGAGGAGGCTTCTTGGGAGCCTGGTGGGGCACCCATGGAGTCTCCTGGGAGATTCCTGGTGTTCTCTTGGAGGCCTCTTGGAGACCTCCTTGGGCCTTTCGGGAGCATTTGGTAGTTTCTCGGGGGCCTCTTGGGCCGTCCTTGGGCGTTCCTGGCCCGCCTGACGCTGTCGGAAGCCGTCTCGGGGGCCTCTCTGCGCCTTATCAGGGCTTCCAGGGCCGTCTTGGAAGCCATCTTGGGCGTTTTGGAGGCCTCTTGGGCCCCTCTTGGGGCCGTCTTGGATGCCACTTGGGCGGTGATAGGACCATCTTGGACACCTCTCGGGGACTGGCGGCGATCTTGGGGGCTATTGGGCCGTATTGGGCCGTCGGAAGGCCGAAAGTAAGCAAGTGCCAGAATCCTTTAAAGTCCCAAAGGAAATAAATGATCTTGGCCTCCTCGGACCTTCCTGGAGGAACTCTTGGAGGCTTCTTGGGCCGTGTTGGAGGCTTTGTGAAAACTCTTCGGGGAACACGTGGGGGAAGGAAGAGGAGGAGAGAGGGAGGAGAAAGGAGGAAGAAGGAGGAGGAGGCCTCTAAGGAGCCACTTGGGACACTCTTGTGGCCTCCTGGGAGCTTGGGGGCCTTTTGGAGGCCTCGCCTGCTTGGGACTCTTGGGAGCCTTTGGGGCTTCTTGGGGGCCTCGTTGACAGTCTTTGGGCGCTCCTGGCCCCCAGGACGCTGTCGAAAGGCGTCTTGGGAGTCTCTCGGTGTGAATAGAACCCGTATAATACCCTCATATATGCTCCTTATCCTCACCTCTCCTGCGCCTGGCCGTTTGAGTTCAGGTATTGGATTAGATCGCTCAGACCTTTGATCGTGCAGGAGGAGAAGATATCCATCGTTCCCTCCTTTCCTCTTCTACCAACGGATCAGGGGTTCTGCACCTTTGTACTCTAACCCCATACACAGGTTACCAACCCTGTAAAGCTCACAGTTCATCGAACCCCGCGTCGCGATCTCGCACGCGGCCTCGATGGAACCCAAGCGGCGCATGCGCCGTAAGGGGTCCATCGGGGCCTCACGTCCGAGCTCTCCGACGGCGCGGCGGCTCGGTGATGAGTTGGAGAGCCTTAGCGTGGACCGTGTAGGTGTCCCAGGTACCCCCCCCCAGCTCCGACGGACCCGAGGCGCGGCTAGCTGATGAACTTCGCCGCCGCGCCGCCCGCGGGGGGACAGGCGAAGGAGAAGCAGCAGGCAGTAGGGAATTTCACACGCCTACCTTCGACCCTCCATCTCCTCCTCCGTCGGGAGCGACCCCAAGTGCGTCGGGCGCGAGCCCCACGGTTCCCCCGCCAAATGGCTGCCGCTCGCACTGAGACTGGCAAAAAGGCCTTCACCATCGAAGACATGCGCGACGCTTGTGACATTCATGATCACAGCGTCAGGCTTGGCTTCGCTGGTCGTAGGAATTGGTGGTTGAACACTGGTAGATTCGACGGAGGCACTAGGCAAGAGCGTGGTCTTATCACAATTGCCCTGCCCCGCGGGGGCGGCACCTGTGAGAAAGCCACGCAGCGCAAGCTTGCCAAACTGGCCTCCATCGAACCTGCCATGGGATCTGCTAATCAAAAGGGGGTGAGTTCAGGGATTAAAACCGATCCGATCATCCCCGGCGCACACTCTTCACATTCACATGGCGCCATGGAGCCGCGGCAGCCGCGGCGCCCGCCGCCGCCGCGCCCTGCCCATGGCGATGCTGCTGGATCCCGCGCCTCTGGCGCGCAGGATGACATGCCCGCTGGGCCGCGCGGTGCCGCCGCGCAGCGGCAGAGCAGTGACGCCAGCCGCAGACCAACAACGCCTCCACGTGCCAAGCGGGCGCGTACGACAGAGGACTACGCGACGTGGTGGCGCGAGAACCTGGAGGAGAGTCCGTGGGGCCCCAGGTACTGGGGCTGCTACGCGAACTGCTGGATATACATAGCGGACAACAACGACGAGTTCGTGTACGTCCGCGACCTGCGCAACAACGACATGTTTCCCAACTGGGCGCCCAGGACGCCCTGGGAGACATTCACGACGAGCTACGTCGCGGATGATGGCCACAGGGTGTGGGGCCAGAGGTTCTACATGAAGGGGGAACTGGTAGTTTAGTCAGCCGCAAGGCCCACCGCTCGATTGGCTTGAACTTCATCTTTATACAATTTCGCCTCGAGCAATGAATAACAATATAATTTTAGGCCACTTCACCATCCAAGAAAAGTGGCCACGCTCGCATTTGTGAAACCCAAGACAGACTCCTAAGGAGCACCGCCGAGCGGAGTAACCAATTGCAGAATTTATGTATGCAGCTTTTCGTGTTTGTCAACACGACTTTACGCGTGGCCACGCCTTTGCTTTGATATTTAGACGTGGTTATTACCACGATCGTGTTCCTCAACACGACTTCATACTACACATGTTGTTTATTCTTTACAGTGCAATTGCAATGCGTTGAGAATGATCTGATGCCCAGCTCTAGTTTGAGAGCTGGTGGCACCGCCTGCCGCGCTCAGGCGCGGCAGCTTCTGATGTTGTTTTAATTTGATCAGATCCTCTTGCTCCGCCCACCCGTGTCTCATTCTTCTCCGCCCTCGAGTGCCGCAGCGTTTTTGGGGGGCGCACCGAGGGGGCACCAAAGCGTGCTTGGCGAAGAAACAGGGACCCTGGGTGTTCCTTCTTACCCTTACTTGCCTGATCATGACAGCCGTTGTGCTACGTTTCCTTTTTGCACACCGCTGTCGTGAATGGGGCGCAGCTGAAGCGATACAGATTCCACGCTCAGCTGCCTCGCAGTGCTGAGGATTTGAGGAGTAAAAGGGCGACAGGTTCTTTTCTCCTTTTCCCGAGTCCTGCCCTTGCGGGCGGGATTCGGGGCAGGGGGTGTGAATAGAACCGTATAATACCTTCATATATACTCCTTATCCTCATCTCTCCTGCGCCTGGCCGTTTGGGCTCAGGTATTGGATTAGATCGCTCAGACCTGTGATCGTGCATGAGGAGGAGATATCCATCTTTCCCTCCTTTCCTCTACCAGCGGATCAGGGGTTCTGTACCTTTGTACTCTAACCCCAAACACACTCGGGGCCCTCGTGGGGTGTTTCAGGGCCGTCTTGGAGGCCATCTTGGGCGTCTTGCACGCCTTTTTGGCCGTCTTGGGCCCGGTTGGGAGCTTCTTGGGAGCCTCTTGGGCTGTCCTGGGGCTATCTTGGAGGCCTCTTGGGCGATCTTGGCGCAATTTTGGGAGCCTTTGGGGCCGTCTTGGGCCGCCGAAAGGCCGAAAATAAGCAAATACCAGAATCCTTTAAATACTGAAAAGGAAATAAATGATCTTGGCCTCTTCGGACCCTCCTGGAGGAGTTCCTGGAGGCTTCTTGGGCCGTCTTGGAGGCCTCTTGGGGTCCTCTGGGGCAGTCTTGAGCCGTCTTGAAGGCTTCTTGGGCGCACCTGGAGGCATCTTGGATTCTCTTGGGCCGTCTTGGAGGCCATCTGGGACTGTCTTGGGCGAACTTGGAGGCCACCTAGTGTCATCTTGGAGCCATCTGGAGCGGAAGAGCCCTTGCTAACCACCCCGCCCGGAACTTTCCCGGAGGCCAGCGCAATGAGCCGAAACACCAGAAAAGAAACAGAAACTTGTCTAAAAGAGCTGGCACGCCAGGCACCCTGTGATGAATCAGTTGGGGGCGGCGGGTCTAGTGGCATTTGGCGCATCCCGCCACCGTGTCTGGGTTGTGGGCCAGAGGCCTCTCTTGGAAGCTTCGTGGGGGGGGCTCTTGGCGCCTCTGGGGGCCTCTGAGAGGGCCTCTTTGAGGCGTTTTGGGGGCCTCTCGGGCGCTTATGGGGGGGCTCTTGGAGGCATGCTGGGGGTCTTGAGGGCGCTTTTCGGGGGAAAGGCTCCCAAGGCGTCTTCTCTTTCTCCCTCTTGGGTGGCGATGTTGGGGGCCTCTTGGGCCGATTGGAGTGTCCTGAAGCTGGAGAGCGCGAGCACCGCAACATCATGGAAGAGTGATGCGGCACACCCAGAGGCCATGCGATTAGCCCCAAGAGATCCGGCAATCGGCGAGCTGGGTCTCTTGGGTACCGTTTTAAGCATTCGGTGCAGAGGGCTCGAAGGAACCTGAAGGCACTCCACCGGGTGCCTACGGCACGGTTGCGGATTTCTACAAGGTGAAGAACGAGGCCAGGTCCATGACCTTCCTGGACATGGAACCCCTAAGAGAGGCGCACGCGGAGCTGGTGAGGGATCTGGGGTGCAAGGATCAGACTGGATTTTTAAATAATCGGATTAGACTTCGGAGGCAGTAGTGGTGATGTAGAGTTTGCCCGATGCCGATGTAATTTAGTTTTGGAATTTGGGCGTGATTTCGAAGGACATGACCTGGTACCTGGAGAACGTCGACCACGAGATGCACTGGGAGATGGACAAGATCTGCGTGCCGGGCGCCCCGAACGCCTGGAACGGGTGTTCTGGCCCCCCGATCCCGGGGCGCGCCACTGTAGACTCGGCTACGCGTAAGGGCGACCCTTCGCCAGAGCAACCCTTGGTGCGGGCCGACGGAGGTCCCCCCAGCATTGGCCTTCGCGCTTGGGCTTGCCTCCGCGGCTCCCTAACGCCGCGCGCCAAGGCGGCGACACTCAGGCGAACTTCTGTTGCTGACGCGCGCGAGGCCGAAGTGCGCACTGAAAGTCGTATAGGCGAAGTTCCTTGGAGGGCGCTTTCTGGCCATCCCGATTAGGTAAGAACACGCTAGAACATTGCAGTAGTACTCGCCATGAAGCCAGCGGGTTCTGAGGCTTTCCGCCGTTTTCGGGCTCCTGGGGCCCTCCCAGGCCCCTGGATTGTAAGACAGCGGCTCGGGATGAAGAGCTGGTCCCAGGGAAAGCCCTCGGGATCCAGAATCCGCATCTTGCATGCTAAACTACTACGGCCGCCCGCGCCCCACCAAAGGCATTGCTGCCCAGAGTTCCTCCTGCGTGTAGCCGCGCAGACCGCGTCATGCCGAGGCAGGAGTTCGTGGCCGCTCGGGTGACTGCAGCCGTGCGGAGGGCCAGAGAGAAGCGAAGGAACGACTCCTCGGGCACCGTCGACCAACGGCGCGTGGAGCCCCGCGCCGTGGACTTGCAGTTCGTCAGGCCGACCCTCGACGTCGAGATGAACCCGTAGCCCTCTCCTGGAGGGAGGAGACGCGACACCACTCCAGACCGCCCATGGGGTCGGAGGATGGCGCCACATATCTGATGCATCACCAGGGACGCCACCACCACCCGCCACGGTGCCTTCCCGAGCCGAAGGTCGGGAATGCCTCGAGCGAGACGCCGCAAGGCAAACGGGGGGCCACGCCACCAGGGTTGGGGCCCTGCCTGGCTCTCGCCTCACGGCGGCGGTGGCGTCGTCTCTCCCTGCTCCCCTTCCCCCGCTGGTTCCGCTCCGGATGGGCCAGCGTGAAGGACGAAACGGGAGTTGGGAAGGAAGGGGTCCTGGAGGTGCTTCGAGGAACGGCTCGGGACGAAGAGCCCGTCCGGGATCCCCAGGGCCCAGGACCCGTTTCCTCCAGGATCCGTGTCCCTCGTCCCGCCGACCAGGACGCTCTTGGAGAGATCTGATTGCTCGGTGGCGTCAGGTGTCCCCAGGGCGAGGAAGCGCCGTGCCGAGTAGAGTACGGAACGGCGCCTTGCCCCTGCGCATCTGGTTTGCGTTTACCGCGCTGTCATTTCAAGGCTGCAGCGCAGATGCGCACCGGACGAAGTCTAAATGACTCACTGGGGTGGATGGACAAGCGCCGCCTGCATCACTACCCGCAGTGCCAGGCATGCCACTCCCACTGCCAGCGGGCATCCCAAAAAAGCCTCACAGGCCACCACGGTGGCTCCGTCGCTCTCTCTGTCTGTCTGTTTGCCTGTCTATGTGTTTGCCTCTTTTTCTGTTTTCTCTCTCTCTCTCTCTCTCTCCCTCTCCCTCTCCATGTCTCTCTCTCTCTCTCTCTCTCTCTCCATGTCACTATGTGCTGTGCTGTTGCTTGCTACCCGAGCGCTGCTTGCACTGAGGTGCTGCCCCCAAGGCACTGGCTGGGCCCGCCGAGGCCTCGCCACGCTGCCGCTCGAGGGAGCCCGCGGGCGCCTCGTGGGCGGACCCAGCGCGCGGGGTGGCGCCGCCGAGGCTTCTCGCCGCGCTGCCGCCCGTTGGGGCGCCCCGCGGTCGCCTCGTGGGCGGGCCGAGCACTGCGCGCCCGGTGGGCTTCGCCGAGGCTTCGCCGCGCTGCCGCCAAGCGGGCGCCCCGCGGGCGCCTCGCGGGGCGGCCCCTGTTCCTCCTGTTCCTCCGCCTCCACCTCCTCCTCCTCCTCCTCCCCACCTCCTCCCTTCTCCCCCTCCTCCTCCTCCTCCTCCCCCTCCTCCCCCTCCTCCTCCTCCTCCTCCTGCGCTGGGTGGGCCCGCCGAGGTTTCTCGCGCCACGCTGCCGCCCGTGAGCGCCTCGCGCTGGCACCCCGCCGGCTTGGTGTCCTGCGTGGTTCGACTGCACGCAAGAGTGACCTTTCGCCGGAGTGGCCTTTGGTGGGGGCCCAATGGGGCCCCCCGATCGTCGAGCGCGATGCGGCAGTAGCGTCCTGCGCTCTCGTGTTTGGTTCCCGCGCGGCCTCCAAAAAGCCGCGCACCAAGGGTCACTCTTACCCAAGGTCACTCCTGCGTGTAGTCGATGGGTCCCCTCCCCCAATTTCCGCCCTCCCACGGCGCCGCTGGCCTGGTACCCCGCCGGCTTGATAGCCACCAGCCACCCGCCACCCGACCAAGCCATCGCCAGCGTGGTGCCCCGCAGGCTTGGTGTCCGTGAGCCTCTCCTTCCCCCCTCCGCCCTCGCACGAGGCCGCCGGCTTGGTACCGTCGCGGCTTGGTACCCCCCGCCGCCGCCCGTTTCTTGTCAAGCCAGCGCCGGCTTGGAATCCCGCCGGCTTGGTACCTCTCCGCCGCCCCCTTTTGAAACGGCATCGCCTGGCGAGCACTCTGCCTCTTGGACTGGAAGCCCCTTGGGCCGTCTTCGGCCGTCGGAAACCACAGTAGGCGAGAAACTCGAAATCCTTAAAAAACCTGCTGATAATCAATTATTTTGGTCTCCTCGGGCTCACTGGGAGGACATCTTGGAGCCCTATTGGTCCGTCTTGGGAGCCGCTTGAACTGTCTTGAGGCCGTCTGGGGAGCCTCTTGAGCTGTCTTGGGCCATCTTGGGCCGTCTTGGTGTCATCATGACTGCCTTACCATCTTGGCCGTTTGAAGGCCGACGAGAGCGCCAGAAAGCAGTTTCATAGGGGGCGATTGGGATGCGCGCGGCGAGGGGCAGGTGAGTCTAGAAAGCGAACCACCTCCCTGACAACAGACGAGGCACTCTAAGACGCCCACTCCGTGCAGGCACAGTGGCGGATTTTGCCCTATGTGAAAGAAACCATTACTGTTTCGGTTGCCACTAGTGTATGGCTGCTTACAGCAAACCCCACACGCGTGCCAGCGCAGCTTTGATTGCATGCAGCATGTTTACACTGAGCTCTCTCTCTCTCTCTTTCTCTTTCCGTCAGTCCGTCCTTCCATGGGCGACAGTCTGTCTAGAGACTAGCATCGCAAACCTTTGGTCACTGCTGCATGGCCTCGCCTAGCGCACCAGATCAGATCGCCCGTCAAGTCAAGCTTGCCGCCGACAGTTGTTCTGACCGTGCTTGGTGCGCACGGTTCTGCTGAACTTGCGAATGTGGACGGTTGACGGTTTGTACGGCCTCATTGTCAAGAGCCCACGAACGACGCCTTTCTGGTTACAGATATGCCACCAGTCTCCGGCAAAGTGGTGTTCGAATGGTTGTTGTTTGGTAAGATCTCCAAAATTATCGCTGCATATTTGCATTGCGTCCCCGCCCAGTGTCGACTGCGCACGTCTGATATGGATTCACATACAGATGTTGCTCATAAGGCGCGCACTTATTTTCAGACCTTGCAGAACATCTCATTGGGCGCCGCACTCCCATGGGGATGGGCGGCACATGCATGATTGTGGTACCACGCGTGCAACGTAGCCGGTTGGATAATCGTTTTTACGGCGCGTCCTGTGCGTTGTGGCGTGACTTGCCATGGCACGTCCTCCAGCGCGCCCCTCGGCGTGGCACATCCCTGGCTCGTCCTCTGTCGCGTTCCCTGGCTCGTCCTAAGGCGTTTCCCCTGTCCTTTCCGTGGCGCGCCCGTTACCACGTCCGTCCCCTGACATGACGTCCTTTGACCCGCTCCGTGGCCCGTCCCATGGCACGCGCCTTGGCACGTCCCGTGGTATGTCCCTGACACGTTCAGAGTACGTCCCCTAATACGTTCCTTAACGCGCCCCCTGGCGCATCCCCGAATGCCCTCCTGGCACATTCTGTGGCGCGTCCGTGAGCCTGTGCCCCGTATCGTGTCGTCCCGTTGGGGAGCTGAGTTGGATTTGAGCTCGAGTTGAATGAAGGTCCCGCACGTTTCGACTTGCACTACACAGCTCTGGGCCAGCTACTATGCGCTCAAGCAGCTCGAGCTCAATATCCAGATCAGTTCGGTCAGGACTCGGATGCTAAGGAGGACTCGATCCACAACGCTATACAGCACAATCGCGGCATTGCAAATCGCAATTCAGCACGGTACAGCACAGCACAGCCTTTGGCACGGTATATCCAGATCGATATTTTCAGCATTGCAGTTGCCCGTCGTTTAAAAAGAACGAGCGTGTTCTACCGCTGCTGGCAGAAAACCGGGGGCGGTCACTGGGGGGTCCCAACCCGTCCCCCCCCCCTCGAAAATCAGGGGGTCACTACCGCTTCGAACCCCCCCCCCAGTCCATCATAAAAAGGGGGGGGAGCACTATCGGTTCGAACCCCCCCCTCCCGAGGGTCACTACCAGTTCGACCCCCCCCCCCTCGCCGCCGGCAAACGATTCCCGCTCCTCGGGACAGTTGGACAATGGTGGGGATGCTGGGACAGTGGTGGGAACGGTGGTGGTGGGGACAGTGGTGCGGGGACAGTGGGACAGTGGTGCGGACAGTGGGGACGGTGGTGGTGGGGACAGTGGTGTGGGGACAGCGGGACAGTGGTGGGGACAGTGGGACAGTGGTGGGGACGGTAGTGGTGGGGACTGGTGAAGGCGGTGGTGAGGACAGTGGTGGGACAGTAGTGTGGAAAGTGGTGGGGACAGTGGGGACAGTTGGACAGTGATGGGGACAGTGGGGACGGTGGGACAGCACAGTGGGACAGCGGCGGGGACAGTGGGACAGTGGTGGGTACAGTGGGACAGTGGTGCGGACCGTGGGGAAAGTGGGGAGGCTGGGACCGTGGTGGGACAATGCTGCGGAGAGTGGGACAGTGAGACACTGGTGGGGGCACTGGTGGGGACAGCGGGGACAATTGTGGGAACAGTGTGGACAGTGGGACAGTGGTGGGGACGGTGGTGGTGGGGACAGTGGTATGGGGACAATGGGAATGTCGTGGAAACAGTGGGACAGTGTAGGGTACAGTTGTGGTGGGGACAGTGGTGAGGGCGGTGGCGAGGACGGCGGTGGGACAATACGACAGGTACAGTGGGGACAGTGGTGGGGACAGTGGGGACAGTGGTGGGAACAGTGGGACAGCTCAGTCTGACAGCGGCGGGGACAGTGGGACAGCGGGACAGTGGGGACAGTGGGACAGTGTTTGGGGCCGTGGACAAAGTGGGGAGAGAGGAACCGTGGTGGGAACAGTGGTGGGGAGAGTGGGGACAGAGCGACAGTGGTGGGGGCACTGGTGGGGACAGTGGGGACGGTGGTGGGAACAGTGGGTGGTGGTGAGGACAGTGGTGCTGGGGACAGCAGTGGGGAATGTGGTGTGGACGGTGGTAGGGACCCGGGAGTCGTTTGCTGGCGGTGAGCGTGGGCGGGGGAGGGGTTCGAACCGGTAGTGACCCCCCCGGTTTTTGGGAGGGGGGTTCGAACCCCCCCTCCCCCGGTTTTCTGGAGGGGGGGAAGGGGTTCGAACCGGTAGTGGTTTTTTCTGGGGGGGAGAGGGGAGGGGTTCGAAGCGGTAGTGACCCCCCTCTGGTTTTCCGGAAAGGGGCGTTCCAGAGGGGGGGGGACGGGGAGGGGGTTAGGGGAGGGGGGGGGTGCAGGGGGGAAGGGGGGGGGGTCCAGCAGGGGGGGGTGATTTTCGGAGGGGGGAAGAGGGGGGGGAATTTTCCATAGTAAAGCGGCGGTGGATCACGCTCTCTCCTTGAAAACGTAGCCATGCCTCACACTTTTATCTTCCTTTCCGGGTTCGCGGGTCGACCATGGTGTTGTTCATGCTGTCCAGGGTTGCAGGCCGCGCGTGTTGGCAGAGGCCGTCCAGGGCCCAGCTCCCCAGTGCATGGCGTTTCCGCGCTCTGCCCCGCACCCTCTCGACCCTCGACAGCCGTTCTCCGCGCGCCTGCCTGTCGCGACCCCCGTGCGCGCCAGTGGAAGACTGAGCTTCGGCTGCCCGACCCGTCTCCGGGCGCCGGGGCCAGCATCGTTAGACCTGCGGTGGGTTCGTGTCGTGCGACGCGGTGGCGACCCCAGCGCGGCCGGTCAGGAGTGAACGCCGCCGATGGCCTGGAATCGGCCTGGCTGGAACGATCTGGCGCGATCGGAAAGCCGCGATCACTCGAGGTTGAACGGTCCACGCGGTGTCAGATACCACCGCGCAGGGCGCCACGGCACGAGCCCACCGTATCCCCATCCCCAGTGGAAGAGCTTTGGCCCCGCTGTCCAGCCTGCCCCCCCCCCCAGGTGGGGCGGCCGTCCCAGCCTCGAGGTGGCGTGCGGGTGGGGCTGAGGAGCCCTGCGCCACTGGGGATCAGGCCGGGGGAGCTGTGGGCCTTACCCCCCTGGGGGACCCATCGATTTCGACACCCCTCTCGAGAGATCGTCGACGCGATGGGTTCCCCCAGGGGGGTAAGGACCACAGCTCCCCCAGTTATGGCTGGTCGGGGGATGGGGGACAGGGATGGGCCCGACGATGCTCGAGAGGTGGGCGTGGGAGGAGCGGGGGCGTGTTGCGTCAGGTTGCTTCTCGTTGCGCGCCGCCCCGCCTCGTGGCCTCCCGGCGGCTCAAGTGCCAGTAATGGCCCCAGGCAGCATGTGACAGCAGGGGCGCGCGGGCACGATCGACCGCCGGATTTCGGCCGTGGCGTCGAGTGGCCAACGTTTGTCTCGTGGGTGTTGCGCCCCGTCTATTGCTTTCCGAAGGATGATTGATGGACCAGTTGGGCATGCCACCCCGGTGTTTCACATTTCTTGTTCCGAATTTTATGTTACCTGGCCTTGCCATGGGCAGGGCAGCGCTTGATGTGGATTCTTGTTTAGGCGAAGTAAAATCATGTGTTAGACCGTGGATCCCTGTGTAAAGAACCCTACACCGAGTTCTGTGATCACGGAATTCCTTGTGGGAATTTTCCAGGGTAGAGGGCAGGGTGCAGAAACATACTCGGCAGGCTGATCGGCAGAGGCTGTGACCAGAACGGTCATTTGTTTGCAAAGCAGAGGCCTAGAATCCCCAAGTATTTTCACTTGGCCTCCTGATTCACCTGGAGGTTTCGGAAGTTTTCTGTTTTGCTGTGACGTTCGGGGCAGACGATCGCATCACTCGAGGCTGCGGCCAAACGTCGGCGGTACGCGTTCGCCTGAGCGCGTCCACTCCCCTCCTGGAAACATCTGCACAACGTACATTACTTCATGTTTAGAGGCCGCTTGCTCAACTTACGCCTTGCTCCTCTGGTCTTGCAGTTCCGCCCCTCCTTGCTCGTGGCGGCCATTGGTGGGTGAACAACGTGAGGCCCCCGATCTTGCTCGTCTTGGGAGGCGAGGGGAGAGGATGGGGGATGCACCCGCCCGAGGCTGCACTGGAGCGGCCCTGGCCCTTGCGGCCGCTGCTCTCCTGGCGGCCCCGGGTGCACATGCCCTGGGCGTGGCCGGCCGCGCGCGCACGCGGAGCCGCGCGCACGCGCGGGACCGCGCGCACGCGGGGGGCTCGGCTGCGCGCGCGGGCGCCAGATTCCGGGCCAGATCGCGGCGGGGCCGCGCGGAGCGACCGCGTCGGCGGCCTGCGTGATCGGCGTCGGCCGCCCCGAGGATCGGCTGCGTTGCGTTTCGCTGGGCCGCGTGCCACGTGCGGGCGCCTGGCACTTTCGGCACGCTTCGGTCGATTCGAGCTTGGGCCTGGGGTTCGAGATTCTGCTCCCTTCGATTGGCTTGGCCTGGCTCCAGATTCGATCGTCTGTTTCACTCTCGCTTCAGTCAGTGCTTGTGGTCGAGTAGGCCCGTGATTTCAGAGGGAAAGGGTTGAAGCGAGCTCCTGGCCTGGGATAGAGCGGTCGCCGTGGCCCAGCTCCCCTTCATTCGCTTTCGCCTCAGGCGCACACCTCGATGTGATCGGTCGCTCGCAGCAGGGTCATTCGCTTGCTCCCCTTCCCTGGGGAAGCCTGGGAGGGTGAGGGCGTGGGGCGAAGGTAGTTCTCGTCTTTTTTCTTGCCTCCCCCTCCCCTCGCCTCCTCCCCTCGCCCTAAATTTCCGCCGAGCCGCCCCTGGACCTTCGACCGGCTTGACAGGAGCCTCCCCGCAAGAGCCACACTCAAGATCAGCTGGTGCCCGTTCTGTGATCTGTGTTCTTGGATCGCACCCGGGGGCAACGCCGATCGGGGCGACGCCGCCATCGAGCTCTCTGCTCCCGCGGCGAGGCCAGCTTGTGGTCACGAGTGTCCCGCCGCGCTCCTGGCCAGCCCGAGGTGCACAGCCGCAGCAGCAGCCACGCCGCCACGAGGTTCTCCAGCAGCCTGCCGGTTGTGTACGTGCAGAGAGACCGCCCGCGCAGCCGGCCGACTAGCTGTTTTGCAGCCGCAGCGTTGTATCGTTAAGTCGGGCCTATCCCTCTACAGGAGGGATATTCAAAAATAGTAAAAAAATACTCTGGGGATTATTTTTGGACTATTTTTGAGCATTTGGGGAGTATTTTTGAAAGTATGTTTGATTTTTCGCCCAAAATCCCCTTGTAGGAGGACAGGCCCGACCTCATTGTATCGCCCGAAAGCGCGAGCTTGTGCCGTGCGTCTGTCCTTCAGAGACGCACGGGCGTGCTCGGCAGCATGGCGTGCAGAGGGCTCTGGCTACGTTGTTCCACAACCCTTGACCACCAGGGAGAATTTCGAGCGCCGGAGTACCCCAAATCTCGAGGGTTTTCCCGTGTCGGGCCCTGGGAGACATTCGTCCGGCACTCGACGCTCTCTCGACACTTTTCCGGGTGCTCGAAATGATTTCTGGGATTTGGTCCTTAAGTACGATGGGGGCAACATAAGTGGAGGGGACCATACGGCTGAATTGAACTTGCTTCGCTGTCTAATTTCCCTTCAGGGACATCATGCGGCGTGCACTGCAGCGCGGCGCGGGCGGCGTGCCATGGATCTTCTCTTGTTTTTCACGGCCGAAACTGCCCTCTACAGCCACCTACGTCTACTCAAACTCAAACTGTGACCAAGTTGCACTGTATTCCCGATCGCAGTAGTGAGGAACATATGGATGCCTGTTCGGCAGCGCCTTCCCCGCTCCTGCGCTTCCGCGTCGAAGTCGTCAGCGTGCATGCTGTCATGGTTGCAAGATCGACGCTGACATTGCGGGTGGGGCAGTCCTTTGTGGGCTTCGTGGGCCAGTGGTTGTTACTTTGGATGGCGGTTCCTGAGATAGCCGGTATGCTGCCCCACGCGCAAAGTGTACAACGAGACCTTACTGCCTGAGTATCGTTAGAGGGGCAGACGCTGCTTTCTGCCTGGTGCCGCGCAGTCGGTGGCCAGGGACACGACGGGCACCCTCGGGCATGTAGCGTCCACACGGGGAGGCGGGTGATGAGAAGGGTACAGAGTAGGACGAGGAGGGTGGAGCCCTCTAGATCATGGCCCAAGGGCACCTCGGCCAGATGGCCCCTGGGACAGGTTACGTTTTCATCGTGATTCGTTTCGAATGTGTTTAAGAGTGTGCTGCAGCCTGGTGCCTCACGACCAGATCAGCTTGCGTGAGGCCTCTGCGGCACGTTCTCTCGGCACAAGCTCGTCGGTGCACGAGTTTGCCGTTCCGACTTTCGAGTACAAATGTGGTGATCTTTACAGTCAGCCATGATAGCAAGGATGGGCAACCTTCCCAAGGGTACCCTTGCATCCTCGCCTCCTCGGTCCATGCTTCGCCGCTTTTGCTGGCCGCGCCCCGCTCGAAAAGCTTCGAAATGGGCGTCCAAGACCCTTGCATCCTCATCGCGCATCTTTGCTATACTGGTTGACTGTACCGGCCGGGTCTGTCGAGTGTCCAGCCGCCTTCTGACACGAAGAGTGATCAAGGCCGAAATCTCCGGGGCTGGCTGGGATCTTCTGGGCAGGGCCCCGTGCACGGGAGACCCTGTGTGGCGGGACCTGGTGGACGGCGGCCCGCCCTGCGCCACGGGCCCCTATTGACGGGGCCCTGTGCGCGATGGGTTTGCTCGTGTGTTTTATCAGTATCGTTTAACCGACTCCCATCCCCATCCTCATCCCTTCGAGGCCCCCACCAGATTACCACCCCAGTTGGGGATACAGCCCTCGAAACCCGAAGGGAACGGCCTCTATCCCCATCTAGGGGGGTAAATCGGCCAGTGGGGCACAGTCCACGCCGCTGGGGATGGGGATCGGTGAAACGATATTCATCATTTTAGACTTCGTGAGTCTCGACCTGCTCCGAGGCTGCTCCATGCACACTCTCCGGGCGCCCTCTCCCTCCTCTTCGCCGCTCCCGCGGCCGCTTGCCCCCTCCTAGGCGCCTCCGGTCTCAGCTCGTGCCTCGCGCACTCTGCTCAGAATGCAACAGCGATGCGACGAGTGCCTGCGTCGCCACCGAGCAATAAGTGTGCGACAGGTGGTCGCCCGATTGTCTGGGTGGGACGGTATGGACAGGACTCCACGGGCGATGGCCAGAACCCCTCCAGGACGGGTCCGCACATACCATGCGGAAAGCGTTTTCTCCCTGCACGGAAGATCGTGGGTCTAGTTGGATCCAGTCATTGTGCGGCAGATCCGCGGATTCAATTTGCCGATCATCAAGATTCAACTCTCCGTGTGGCCAGTGCCATGTATCATTTGCTTTGGCTAGGTGGCTGGGACCAGTCCCGCGAGACTCGTCTGTGTGTGTTCTGTTCGTATGAACTTTGCGGCTGGTGTACATTGCAAAATGCGAAGGAAGCCCGACGCAATACCATTGTCTGTCTGTCTGTCTGTCTGTCTGTCTGTCTGTCTGTTTGTCTGTCAGTATGTCTGTATGTATGTAAGTATGTATGTATGTATGTATGTATTTATGTATGTATGTATGCATGTATGTATGTATGTATGTATGTATGTATGTATGTATGTATGTATGTATGTATGTATGTATATATGTATGTATGTGTGTGTCTGTCTGTCTGTCTGTCTGTCTGTCTGTCTTTCTGTCTGTCTGTATGCATGTATGTACGTAGATACGTATGTATGCATGTATGGGTGTATGTATGTATGGATGTATGCATGTATGTATGTATGTAAGTATGTATGCATGTATGCATGTATGCATGTATGCATGTCTGCATGTATGCATGTATGCATGTATGCATGCACGTATGCGTGTGTGTATACCTGGCTGTATGTATGTATGTATTTACGTACGTACGTATGCGTGCCTGTATGTGTGTACACACACATATATATGATATGTGCCTGCATGTGTGTATGGGTGTAGGTATGCATGCATGCATGTATGTATGTATGCATGCATGTATGTATGTGTATATATATATATATATGTATTTGCTTGCATGCGTCTATGTATGTATGTACTTAACTTTACAAATCTACTCATGCAGACATACATATGTCTAGACATATCTATTCGTGTGCTGCAGATGTCTCGAGCAGAACGCTTGTGTTGCAGAATGTGTTGAGGACGTCTCGAGCGAAACGCTTGGTTTGTCCTATATTTTGGTCTTCTCCAGGGGACCAGAATTCAGAGGATGTCTCAGGCGAAATGCTTGTTTTCACATGCCCAGGTCGCCCATTCGGGTATCTCGCATGGCTGTCCCCAGATGGAACCACATGATTCTACGTGGGGTATCTAACACGGTAGTCCCGAGCGTGAGCCAGGTGGTTTACGTGTCCAGGCCACCTGGTGGGGTACCTAACATGGTGGCCCCGAGCTGGGGCCACGTGTTTTTCGCGTGTCCAGGCCACCCAGAAGGGGAGTCTGGCATGGTGGTCCCTCGCTGGGGCCACGTGCTGTTACGTGTGCGCGCCACCCACTGGGGGAATCCAACATGTGATCGTCTGGGCGCCCCCAGCGTGGGGGCCCACACGAGCCAGACAAGATTAATACATCGAACCCAGACGTGGAAAAACTGGACGCAGTTTCTTTGGCTGGTGGTTCTCCGCACTTCCTTCTGGGGTATCCAACATAGTGGTCCCGAGCTGGAGCCGCGTGTCTTTACGTGTCCAGGTCACCCAGAACAAGTATCTAACATGGTATCTAACATGATGGCCCCGAGTTGGAACGACGTTTTATTACGTCTCCAGGCCGCCCCGGGGAGTATCTAAGATGTTTACCTCTTGCCCCTCGCTGGAACCACTTGTTTTCATGTGTCCAGGCCACCCAGCAAGGTATCAAACATGGTGGCCCCGAGCTGGAACCACGTGTTTTCACGTGTCCAGGCCACCTAGACAGGTATCTAACATGGTGGCCCCGAGCTGGAACCATGTATTTTTACGTGTGCGCGCCACCCAAGGGGGGTATCTAACATGTGATCGGCTGGGCGCCCCTAGCCCACATGGGCCAGACAAAATCAATACATCGAAACCAGATGTGGAATTAATTGATGGACAAGCACATCACATGCACACTACATTGATGGAACAAATTTGAGCTGCAGCGCGGCTACCTTCGCGGCTACCTTCCCGCTGGTGAAACATTTTCCCCGTCACTTTGGGCCCGGCTCCGCGCCCTTGACGAGCCACCCATTGTCGCGCCACGCGCGCTCGCATGTCTGGACCCACTATAGAACGACTGCTGGAGAGTAGGCAGTCTTTTCTCACGGCGACATTGTCGACGTTAGACTGGATGGCGGCGCGGGTTGGATACCTGCGGCTCAATACGAGAATTGTCGGCCTGCCCAAATATGGGCGCGATCCTACGGGCGGAACATTGATGTCGACGACCAGACTCCTACCCTCACGGGGCTCTGTGGGTGCGGTGTCGGGATTCTACCGGCGACGGCCAGGGCCCCGCCAACACGGGATCAGACCCCACGGGTAGGGATTCGCCGGCCAAGCCCAGATCCACGCCGGCACCGGTGTGGGACCTCACGCATTGCCAGGGCTTTTTGGTCGACGGCCGAGCTCCCACCAGCACGGGGCCTCATAGGCGGGATCCTGTGAGCGGGGGCCGGATCCTCATCAACTGCCAACGCGGGGCCTCGTGGGCGGGACCTCCCTGGCAGGACCTCCCCGGCGGCGGCCGGAGTTTCACCAAAGCGGTGGTCCACGCAGGAGCAGGAAGGACCCTCTGGGCGACAGTGGCGGGAGCCCCACCACGAAGGGAATGTTCCCCGCCCGTTCGGGGAATGAAGCAGTGCTTGCCAGCGTGGGCCCCAAGGAGTAAGCTGTTGCATTTGGGATGTGTGGGCTGCGTGGGGCAGTATGTGGTGCAAAGTCTGGGATGTAACTCATGTGGTAATTCCCCAGAAGTGGCACGGGCTCAGGGTTGGCTTGTAGATGGCATTCTGTAGCTGGTGCCATGCTTGAAAAGGACTGGCGGGTTAACGTGC